CAGGCTGGCGGGGGGGGGTGCACAGCTTCCAGCCGCAAGAAGGTCCCCCACGCGGGCCCGGATCATATGTTGCCATGGATACCCTTTGCTGCGGCGTGTAGAGGCCGGGCACGCGTCGAGATCAACATCAGGGGATCATCAGCGTCTCTCTTTCTCTCTCTATCTTTATGCTTAGTTTACGGACCGGAACTAAACGCTTTCTCCCCTCAACAGCTGCCGAGCCGCTGATCCAAAATAAGCAGCTGTTCAGGCCGGTGCATTGTGAGCAATCTAACAGCCGGGGCCAACATTCCTCATGCAGATCGCGCCGCGCGAGGGACCAGGCAATAAGCGCGCGCGGGAGGGACCACCAACTCTGTCCAGGAAACGTCGCAGCCCTACAAAAATAAAAAAGTGAACACAGTCCTTCTTTCATCTGTTTTATATGAAGCAATGCATTTTGAGCAGGTTTTTCCCACTGCCTCTGGAGACATAACAGCCTTCTTCATACACTCTAACAGGGTTTTTGTTTTTTAAAGACAGTCCCTGTTTTGACTCAAATCCCTCATTCATGTGTCCTGATGTATAGTTCTGTTCAAAACTGATCTCCACGCTCAAATACTTTCCTCAGTAACCACAAAGGATATAAATCCGCTTTGTGTGCATTAAATGCCTGTGTGGGGCTTTGGGAAGGACCTAGCAGGCCCTACCCATTGCAGAAAACTATAGAAGGGGGTGGAGAGAGAGCAGCATTGAGCGGCTTTTATTACACGAGGGGGCGGAGACAAGACCAGTCACCCTGCACTAGGAGCGAGAGAGCAGCAGTGGGCGATCTTTATTGCAGGAAGGGGCGGAGACAAGACCAGTCACCCTGCACTAGGAGCGAGAGAGCAGCAGTGGACGGTCTTTATTACAGGCGGGTGCGGAGACAAGAACAGTCTCCATGCACTAGGAGAGAGAGAGCAGCAGTGGGCGGTCTTTATTGCAGGTGGGGGCGGAGACAAGACCAGTCACCCTGCACAAGGAGAGAGAGCAGCAGTGACCAGTCTTTATTATAGGCGGGTGCGGAGACAAGAACAGTCTCCATGCACTAGGAGAGAGAGAGCAGCAGTGGGCGGTCTTTATTGCAGGTGGGGGCGGAGACAAGACCAGTCACCCTGCAGTAGGAGAGAGAGAGCAGCAGTGGGCGGTCTTTATTCCAGAAGGGGGCGGAGACAAGAACAGTCTCCCTGCACTAGGAGAGAGAGAGCAGCAGTGACCAGTCTTTATTACAGGAGGGTGCGGAGACAAGAACAGTCTCCCTGCACTAGGAGAGAGAGAGCAGCAGTGGGCGGTCTTTATTGCAGGTGGGGGCGGAGACAAGACCAGTCACCCTGCAGTAGGAGAGAGAGAGCAGCAGTGGGCGGTCTTTATTGCAGGTGGGGGCGGAGACAAGACCAGTCACCCTGCAGTAGGAGAGAGAGGTAGAAGAATACACCTGGATCTTGTATATAGACAATAGTTGCTGATCCCGGAGCTCAGCTTTGAATTAATATAACATTTACAGTAATACCTTGGTTTACAAGTAACTTGGTTTGAGAGTGTTTTGCAAGACAAGCAAACATTTCTGAAAAATTTTGCCTTGACATACAAGCAATGTCTTGCAATAAGAGCAAAATTTTGTAGAAAAGCGCCACCGGAATAAGGCTGTAGCAGTGCGAGCGATGATTCTGTTTAACGACAACACAATGTCACATTGGATAGATTCCTTGTTAAGGTTTCACGAAATGAAAAAGATTGCATTGAGTCAAGAGATAGCAGTGATTCCGTTAGTGATAGTGAAAGTCGTCCTACACAATAATTCTCCTCTCTCTCGCCCCCCTCACACCAGCCACGAAGGTACCGGTAATTGGTTTATTTTTCTTTATATTTTATACAGTATTATATTACAGTACAGTATGGTAATCGTTTTTATATGTATATTTTTGGGTTGTGGAACCAATCATCTGAATTTCCATTATTTCCTATGGGGAAATTCGCTTTGACATACAAGCGCTTTGGATTACAAACATGCTTCCGGAACGAATTATGCTCTTAAACCAAGGTATTACAGTATGTTGCTCTGAGTCTACATTGTAGCGGGTTGTGTTGCTTGTCTTCAAATGACACCATAAAGGGAAAGGTTTCCATATCAACATATTACATTTGATTTATTATAAGCCTTTTTGTAGCACAGACCGGCAGAAGGTGAGGTCCGAGGTGTGTCGTTGTGTGACTGTGTGCCAGGGACATGGCGACTGCTGCTCTCCACCCTGGGGGCAACCAAAGAAGGGGTGCAGTGCACCCAACATCATGCAGATTGATCTCCTGCCCGCACATTGCTATAGAGGCGGGGCATGAGCTTCTCTTCTCTCAGACAAGTAACTCATTAACACCTATTTAGCACCCCCCAATGTAAGAGGGCCATTCTCCACTGACACCAAAGTCAGGGGGCACTTCACCACTGACCACCAATGTAAGGGGGCGCTTCACCACTGACCACCAATGTAAGGGGGCGCTTCACCACTGACCACCAATGTAAGGGGGCGCTTCACCACTGACCACCAATGTAAGGGGGCGCTTCACCACTGACCACCAATGTAAAGGGGAACTTCACCACTGACCACCAATCTAAGTGGGCACTCTACCACTGACTGCCAATGTAAGGGGGCTCTTCACCACTGACCACCAATGTAAGGGGGACAATTCAACACCGACCACCAATGTAAAGGGACACTTCACCACTGATCACCAATGTAAGAGGAGGCATTCTCCACTGACCACCAACCTAAGTGGGCACTCTACCACTGACTGCCAATGTAAGGGAGGCATTTTTCCCCTGGTCACCAATGTAAGGGGACACCTCACCAATGACCACCAATGTAAGGGCGCACTTCACCACTGGTTACTAGTGTAAGGGGACACTTCACCACTGACCACCAATGTAGCAGGGCTCTTCACCACTGACCACCAATGTAAGGGGGCCCCACTCCACAAACACCAGGTTAAACCGATACTCCGCCATTGACTGCAGTCAGAAGAAGGGCCACTTTCCACTGTCAACCAATGTTAGGACACCCTTCTTCACTGACACATGTTATTTTTAAAGTAACATACGACTGCTTTAAGGGAAAAGGTTCATAATCTCCTAAAAACATAACACCCCCTCCTCCATAGCTCTCTAAATACACTAAAATAACCCCCCCTCCCCCGCAGTCCTTACTTAATGGGAAACTACATTGTAGCTGCTCCTGGTAGTATAGGTACCTCCTATTCAAGTCTATGGGTTGTGAATAGAGGCGCAGCTGGTCCAGCAATAGATATTTTTTGGTCGGGCTGTGGACACCATGAGAGGTCACCACCATTGGAGGAGTGAGGTGGGCACACCTATAGGGGTGGATAGCTCAGCTCAGATGTGGAGTCCAGCTTTAGCTCTTCCACCTACCTCAGCCCCCAGAGTTTTTCTTAAAGGATTAAGGCTGTTTGTGTTTGTGCTTCATTAAGGAAAGATAAGTAATAATACATATAATAAGTAATACAATTTTATATCTGATCATTGTCTTACATTCCAATGTTTTAACAGTAAATATCATTTTCTTTAATATTTTATGTAGAAATGTTGTTTAAAAGTTTTTATGTGTTTCTTCCGAATGTCCATTTTCCTTAACTATTTCTTACCCGTCCTTGAAACGTGAAGGAGAGGCAAGCGTGGAAGGAGTATTAAATCAGCTCGTTCTGGAGCATCTGCAGCTGGCACCTCTCCAGTGGGGTAAGTGATGTTCAAAAGGCTTGGCATTCATTGCAGGTGGTCATACATGTGCCCACTAGGGCTACACCAATATATAATGCATAGCTTATTATCACACAGGCACACACAAGCTCAGTATGTCCTCCATCCTCTACCTTCTTCTATCATCACCTCCTCCATCATTTTATTTTTCCACACCTCCTGCATCCTGATATCATCACGCCTTTTCCATCATCTTATATCTTCACACCTTCTCCATCCTGATATCACCACGCCTTTTCCATCATCTTATATCTTCACACCTCCTCCATCCTGATATCACCACACCTTTTCCATCATCTTATATCTTCACACCTCCTCCATCCTGATATCATCACGCCTTTTCCATCATCTTATATCTTCACACCTCCTCCATCCTGATATAATCACGCCTTTTTCATTATCTTATATCTTCACACCTCCTCCATCCTGATATCATCACGCCTTTTTCATCATCTTATATCTTCACACCTCCTCCATCCTGATATCATCACGCCTTTTCCATCACTTCATATTTTCACATATTCTCCATTCTCTTCTTTCATTACACATCCTCCATTGTCTTCTATCTATCATCACGCCTTGTATTATGATCATGTCAGTTGGTTGGTCATGTTAGGGGGTGTAGTGTTCTATATATAGAGTGTAATAGAATTGTATTATGATGGTGTCCAGTGGTCGGCCATGTTGGGGATGTAGTGTTCTATGTCTAGAGTGTAATAGAATTGTATTATGATGGTGTCCAGTGGTCGGCCATGTTGGGGGTTGTAGTGTTCTATGTATAGAGTGTAATAGAATTGTATTATGATCATGTCCAGTGGTGGTCATGTTGGGGGTTGTAGTGTTCTATGTCTAGAGTGTAGAATTGTATTATGATCATGTCCAGTGGTCGGTCATGTTGGGGGTGTAGTGTTCTATGTATAGAGTGTAATAGAATTGCATTAGGATCTAGAGCTGCAACAACTAATCGACATAATCGATTATAATCGATTATTGAAAAAGTTGTCAACTTTTTCAATAATCGATTAATCGGCTTCCGATCAGTTGGTCCCGTTCACGGCTCCCCACACGCTGCGCGCCGCACCTCCTCCCCACCTCACGCTCGCCGCTGCCAGACCCGCCCGCATCCACGCTCTTCACGCCGCACCTCCTCCCCGCCTCACACTCACCGCCCGCCCACATCCACGATCGGCACAGGGACGCGGGGAGATGTAGTAAGGAGGAGCAGGTGTGGGGGGATGACAGCCGCCGATAGACAGGTCCAATCTCAGAAGCAAGTTGCTGGAAGACTGCTCAGGTAAGCCTGCACTTTCCCACACATGGTGCTCTATAATGTATTGCTGGGATTTGTATTCCTCTATAGCTGATGGTACATTGTGCTGTATATTATACAGAGCAATGTACCATCAGCTATAGAGGAATACATTATACACTACTGGGATCTCCTATATAGCTGGTGATATTTTGCACTGAGCTGTATAGAGGACTACAAATCCCAGCAATAATACATTATACAGCGCAATGCAGAATACCACCAGCTATAGAGGACTACAAATCCCAGCAATATTTCATTATACAGCGCAATGCAGAATACCACCAGCTATAGAGGACAACAAAACCCAGCAATAGTACATTATACAGCGCAATGCAGAATACCGCCAGCTATAATGTACTATTGCTGGGATTTGTAGTCCTCTATAGTCGGTGCCATTCTGCATTCATTGCTGTATAATTTTACACTTTCCTTTTCACTATATTGCACACCACTATTTTTTTTCTTTTCTTTTTTACTTCTACCGCTCCAAGCTTGCTCCTGTGATGGAGTGCAATCTCAATACAAACTAGTAGTCCATCACTGGAGCCATTTTTAAAAATGTATTTTATTGTTTATCCGATTAACCGATTAATCGAACTTAATAATCGGCTAACTAATCGATTTTGAAAATAATCGTTAGCTGCAGCTCTATTAGGATCATGTCCAGTGGTCGGGCATGTTGGGGATTGTAGTGTTCTATGCATAGAGTGTATTAGAATTGTATTATGATCATTTCCAGTGGTCGGCCATGTTGGGGGGGTGTAGTGTTCTATATATAGAGTGTAATAGAATTGTATTATGATCATGTCCATAGGTCGGCCATGTTGGAGGCGTAGTGTTCTATGTATAGAGTGTAATAGAATTGTATTATGATGGTGTCCAGTGGTTGGTCATGTTGAGGGTTGTAGTGTTCTATGTATAGTGTAATAGAATTGTATTATGATCATGTCCAGTGGTGGATCATGTTGGGGGTTATAGTGTTCTATGTATAGAGTATATAGAATTGTATTATGATCATGTCCAGTGGTCGGTCATGTTGGGGGTGTAGTGTTCTATGTATAGAGTGTATAGAATTGTATTATGATCATATCCAGTGGTCGGTCATGTTGGGGGTTGTAGTGTTCTATGTATAGAGTGTAATAGAACTGTATTATGACAATGACCAGTGGTCGGTCATGTTGGGGGTGTAGTGTTCTATGTATAGTGTAATAGAATTGTATTATGACATTGACCAGTGGTCGGTCTTGTCGGGGGTTGTAGTCTTCTATGTATCGATGTAATAGAATTGTATTATGACAATGACCAGTGATCGGTCATGTTGGGGGTGTAGTGTTCTATGTATAATGTAATAAAATTGTATAAGGATTATGTCCAGTGGTCAATCATGCTAAACTGTATTTTTTTTTTTGTAATATAAGGTATTACATAAGTTGAGGTCAGGTCATGGTGGAGGCCTAGACGCGTTTTTGCATGTTTAGGCAACAATGGAATTATATTATGATTGTATACAAAGTCTAGTCATCTGGAGGCCATTGCCTCTGTATGGTGCATGACGCATAACAATGTACATATTTGAAAGCTTGGGAGAATTTGTCATGCTTCCAGGTCAAGCTTCCATTCTGTGTGCCACTGAATAAAGTCTATGTTGAAATGTGCAATAATGTAAATAGGCTGTTTATGTAATGGAAGAACTCTGGTGTTATCTGCAGATTTACCATTGTGTGTACTAAGAAAAACATGACTTATTTTATGTCAGCATATATTTAAATCTGTTTTAACTTTTCATTGTACTCTTTTTTTATGAAATGATTGATTGCACTTTATATAGTTCATTTAAGGTAAAAGTACTTTAGTTTTGAATAGTACATGAGCGGTCTTTGCATTTCCACAAAAAGCGGCATCATTGTGCCAGCACATTGTAACTTGGCAAGAGAGAAATGATATAGCCTCATGAGCTGTATATAGAAGTGTGAATGTATAAAACAACTTTGTGTTTGGTGAGTGCTCTTTCGATCTAAGTGTGTTATTTAATTGCATCAAAATGCATAAATACTTAGCCTTTTACATTTGAATTTACTTTACCCAACGAATATAATGCATTTTGCCCTTTTTGTCACTCTTTCTGTTCCCCTCTTTTATAAGATATTAAATAATGGCAAGGTTTGGCTTCAGGAACATTCTGGATGTTTTAAATCCATAGGCATAGTTTTTTGATTGTTTATTATGGTGATACCGTCCTCAAAAATTGATGCACCTCATCTCTCGGATCCAACATGACACCTGGATCTTTTAACATTCCCCTCACAATTGTTGTGCGGCCCCCTGCCTGTTCCCGAGTGGAGCTCTTGCTGCCTCTCATAACTCAGGAGTAATTGAAATCTCCCCATGATTTCATTACTTGAGATCAAGTTCAGGACTGTGGAGAATTTATAGTTTTTGTCATGTTTACTGCTTGGCTGGCCTCCAAGTGTGACTGAAATAGGACATCCCATGTATCTTAGTGTAGTTTTATATTTAAAGGTATTGGCACCCCCCCCCCCTTGGGCATCAAAACAAACCTAAGACATTCGTTTGAAATAGGATCAAACCCAATCACTACATTCTGGTATAATCTTTAACATGCTATTTCATTTTAAAGTTGCAGGTTTCGATAAAAGTAATTCCTGGTGGTCTTGTCATTGAGGGTAATTGATAAGGCAATTCATTTTCGGAGGTGACAATGTTTGGTCTAATTTCCTATTCTTAGCGTGCATTGTCACCGAAACCTTCAATACAAACTGTAAGTGGCTCTGCCAACGCATTTTCCACCATTGTCACTGTAAGTACAATTGACTCTGTCCTCACTTTGCAGTCTTCAAGAGCTATGGCCTCCAGGAGAATCTTCAGCATTGTTTGTTGGATGCCTTGTCCCCACTGTGTGCTGAGGTTCCTCAATCTTGCTCTTATATCCTGTTGAGACATAGGGGCTGGCACATGGAACCACAGTGCAACTGTAGGACCAAGCATCTGACACACCAGCGTTGGATGCTAAAGATTCTCCTGGAGGTTGCAATTCTTGAAGACAGTAAAGTGAGTATTTGCCACCAGCTGGAGATGTCAGAACTAACAGTCTTTAAAATTAAACTTATCCTTCAGACCAGTAGAAGGCAAACTGTGATGGGTTAGGCTAGCTTTTCTCTCTCTGCCATTCTGATACAACTTTTCTGTAAATTTAGCTCCACTAAGATGAGAAAGTCACATAAATAGACACCGTCATATCCTTTAGATTACCAATTCTTGACTAGGGTTCCATGCAACCCTACGGTTCCTCTAGGGTTTGCTATGGGTTCTTTGAGATGTGGTTGACTGACCTCCCAATTGATGGTGCCTTCCTAGTTCCTGGGCCATTGACAATTGTCAGAGCCAATGGCATGACACCAGTAAGTTTGTAAGAGTGGCATTCTGAACGTCCATGTAAGTGGGACATTCTTGCCACCCTTGTATGGGGGGTATTCTTCCCACTGACCACCAATGTAAGGGGCATTTTTTCCCACTGAACCCCAATAAATTGGTATTAGCACTGGTTTCCATGGAGGCATGAATATTACTTCAAAGCTTCCTTCAGGGAAAAAGGGTTGAGGAAGGCTGCTATAGAAGAACAACACGGTCCTTATACACGGTCCAGGGT